ACAGACAAAGGAAGAAAAAGGGCAATTACTCAGAATACAAAAATGTCTTATTTACATACACTGTAGTTATCAATAAACCTCTGCTTGAGATGTTTATTGTTGAATATTTATCCTTTTGCTTGAGATGTTATTTGTTGAATATTTAAAGCATTATACTTGACAAAACATTTAAAAGCTGAACATCTATCTATTCAGAAGACAAAGATCTATGTCTTAACATTTTTTCTATGTTTAATTTCCTAAAATGCATGTGCCAAGCCTTCTACAAAAGCTTAACCTACTTGACGATAATAATTAAAAGTATTTTTGACCTTATTTAATAACAGATAAAAAATATCTTGCATTAAAGTAGTACTTTAATGTTCTTTCAATCACAAATGTAATTTTTATCTATATTACACTGGCATGCATATGTTGTTGTTCTTGGTATGTGCCGTTGAGTTGCCTGCGACTCATAGCGATCTATGTACAATAGCCCTAAACCCTGCTCTATCCTGTGTCAATCTCACTGTCTCCAACACACTTACCCCAAATATCCTAGTGACTGAATCAATCCACCTCACAGAGGGTCTTCCCCTCTTTCACTGTCCTTCCACCGTCCCAAGCATGATGTCCTTCTCCAAGGACTGGTCCCTCCTTGCAACATGCCCAAAGTATGTCAGTCAAAGCTTCAGAATCCTTGCCTCCAAGAAGCAGCCTGGTTTAACCCTCTCCAGGTTGAACCTGTTCATTTGATTAGTAGTCCATGGTATAGTTAACAATCTTCTCCAACACCACAGCTCAAAGGCATCAATTCTCCTCCTATCCTCCCTAGTCATTGTCCAGCTCTCTGATGTATAGCAAATTATTGCAAATATCATGGCCTGTATCAGGAGCACCTTGGTCTCCAGAGTGACATAATGGCTCTCCATTACCTTGGAGAGGTCCCTAACAGCAGACTTATCCATCACAACAGGCCTTTTAATGGTTAAAATGGCTACTTGTACCAAGGGTGTTGACTGTGGAGCCAAGCAAACTAAGGCTGAAGATTATCCAAAAATGACTGGAACAGCACATCAACAGAGAACTGCCAGAAATACAGGCTGGCTTTAGAAAGGATCATGATACCAGGGATATTGTAACTAATGTTAGATGGATCTTGGCTGAAAGCAGTGAATAACAGAGGAATATCTATCTGTGTTTCGTTGATTATGCAAAGGCATTTGACTGTGTCGATCACAACAAACTGTGGCTGACTCTGAGAAGAATGAGAATCCCAGAACACTTGATGGTGCTAATGAGGAATCTAAACTTGGACCAGGAGGCAGTTGTCAAAACAGAGCAAGGAAATACTGTATGGTTCAAAATTGTGAAGGTCGTATGCTAGGGATGTGTCCTATCTACATACCTTTTCAACTTATATGCAGAACAGGTTATCCAGGAGGTTGGGCTGTATGAGGAGAAGTGTGGCATCCAGATTGGAGGAAGATTCATCAACAATCTGCATTATGCAGATGACACAACCCTGCTTGCTGAAACTGAAGAGGACCTGAAGTGCTTGCTGCTGAAGGTCAAGGACTGGAGCCTTCAATATGGATTGAGCCTCAATATCAAGAAGGCAAAAATTATCACCACTGGGCCAATTGGCAGCATCAGGATAAATGGTGAAGAGATTGAGATATTGTTAACAGCTTTAGTTTGCTTGGCATGTATATATGTGTGTGTATTCTTATATTATTTCTTTTCATACATATATGACTAATGCACATTTTTAAATTGATAAATGTAATTAGTTCTGGAAATTTGGCTCATAAGTCCCACAGGATCTTCTTTGCTGCCCTGAACATCCAAATAGCCAATGATCATGCTTATTTTTATTTCTTTTACATGTTAAATGACAATCTGATTAACCTGTTTAATGGTTAATAAGAACCATTCAAAGGTAGCAAGCCTGTGTTTGGTTGGCAATAATTTCTCTACCAATCAAAAAAGAAAATATTTTATTTCTCCTTTTCAGGTAGCTCGGGATGGCAAAACAGCTCTTAGAAGCAGCACCTCTTTATGTCCAAAGTGAAATTTTGATTCATGACAGTTGAAAACTTCCAATTCTGCAAATGACTAGCTTTCTGGTCTAATATCTCTACTTGTTAGGGGTTTTTTGGGTAATATTTCTACTTGTTATCCTTACTTCAGAAGACAGTGACAACTGGTGTCTGACAAAGCTGCATCCAACACAGCACTTAATTAGCTGTATGTGCTGTGACTTCACATATGTAGAGAACTGTAAATACTTTCTGGCTCACACAACCAAAGAAGAGGCAAGGGCAAATTCACTGGGGCTTCTATGTTGGCACCAGTTAGACACCACTTGAAAAAAAAATAATCCTGAAGAAGAGGTGTTTTCGACTGGAGCACAGATGTTATTCCAGGAATTACTTCAATCTCCACATTTAAAAACTTAATAAAAGTTCTATCAGCCGGCTTCCAATAATAACAGTCACTACAATGTGCTTGATTCATTTGTTCTAGGCATTAAATGTGTAGTGAAAAATCAAGCTCTTCCATTTGTAAGGAAAGAGAAATTTGCATCCATCTGTCTGGGACCAAAATTCATGCTCTTGTGGTAGTGATAAGAAGCTGAGCTAACTGTTGCAAGAACAAATGACTGGATGCTGGTTTCACTCTTTTTGTCTTTTTCTGTAAAAGCAAAAATCCCTTTTAAATTTACTTCAGTTAAAGAAAACAGTTACTAAAGAAGGCCCTTTGTTAAGTGAGGTGACATACAGTGACCTTTCGGAAAGCAGAACATACTTGTAGTCGTCTAGTTGGGGTTGCTCTTGAGTTTCTTGTAGAAGTTACTAGATAGTAGAATATGGAAACTTGTTACTTGTTATTAATATACCAGTAATCATTTAAAAGTAAAGATTCTTTGTCATGCAAAAAAGAAAAAAAGAAGCTGTGCTCAAATCCCAAAGGCAAGTGGTTCAAATCCACCAGTTGTTCCACTGAAGAAAGATGCACAATCTCCTAATTTGTAATTAACTTTCTCTGAAAACCCATTGGAAGGTCAGCTATGAGTAGGTTCCTACTTTATGCACACAACAACAAAAACTAAAAACATCTCTGAAATTGTCCAAAAACAGTGTTTTCATGAAGCATTTATTAAATAACCAAGAGTACCAAAAAGAAAATAAGAAAAAAACCAACACCACTCTGGTGATGTGGTGTGTCATATATTGTGCTGCCAACCAAAAGGTCAGTAGTTCAAATCTACCAGCAACTCCAAGGGAGAAATATGGACATCCTCCTCCCACACAGACTTAGAGACTCAGAAAACTGATGGACAATCTCTGAGTTCGAACTAACTCATTGGCAATAAAGTTTGGTTTCAAAACCTAAAAGGTGCTTAGTGACTCCACGGTCTAGGTGGGTGGAAGTGAAGTGAACAACAGTTCACAGTAACTCAACTTCCATGGCAGAGGTCCATTCTTGCAGTATCAGTGACAGAAAGACATTGGCTGAGAACAAAGAGGGAAGGTGAGGACAGAGCTGAATTGAGACATGACCAGGACTGCTTCTCTCTGTGTCATTGTTGTTGTGTCCTCTGATTCATAGTGACCCTATGAACAAATGACCTGAACACTTGTATAACTTTCATCCTTTCTCCAGGTTCAGAGGCAAGCTATTTTGGAAGTGGATGCCACTCCTGCGTCCAAGCTTGTTTTAATCGGGGAGCTTAACCAAACACTGTCCACCAAGGGTAATCATTATTGCATTTGACACATCAGTGTCACAGTGATCAGCTTCACAGCAAGCATGAGTTACCTCTGTACAGCAAGTGGACAGACCAGAGCTATACAACCTGGAAGAATATTTGACGAAAAACAATTTAAACAGGCCATCATAAGGTCCATCTTGAATCGAGATTCACAACGCACTAACCCTCAGCCTGCAGGCATGGCCAAACTTTTCAGTATTTTACAATTCTGGTGCACCCAAAAGCTGGTGGACTCTGGGCCAGAGACCCCCAATTCATCAGACAATTCCCCTCTGCTGACACCCACTTGGGACGAAAAGAAAGCCATAAGAGCCCTGAGTGTTCATACATGCTGAAAATTGAAGAGTAAGAGTAGAAAATAGAACATCAAAGCATAAAATACCCACAACTCTGGATTTTTCAGCTTTAGGCAGGAGTTCATAGGCATGATGCATATATATCTTGAGAGTTCTTTGCTAGTCTCAGTGCATCCCAACTTACAGTATTAAAAAGGATGGGAGCAAAGATAATGTAAATTAATGTACTCCATACATGGTAGTTCATGGAAAGCAGCACCATTAACACAGAAACAATCATGTTCATGGAATTTACCACAAGGCCTAGGTTTGAGTTCTCTCATTGATGTAATTTGGGATTAAAAGTCAATTTATTTGAACTTTCACTTTTTTAGAGTGCTGTAGGGATCATATTTATGATTTACATATTAAAGTACTTTGTAATATTATAAATTCTTTTTATGTTTTACAATCTTTTTTTGTTAGACATTGCTATTAATTAGTAGCATTAATCAACTGTAATTAATACTATAAACAAAATGCATATGAATGATCAAATAAAATTTAAATGAAATTTTACAAAACAAAATATATATGAAAGATAATATTAAATCTAAATACAATGTTAAAAACCAAAATGTATATGATCATATGAAATTTAATTACTATATTATAAAAAACCCAAAACATAAAAAACTCTCCTCAAAAAACAAACTCACTGCTCTTAAGTCAATTCTAAGTAATAGTGACGTTATAAGACAGAGTAAAATTGCCCAAAACTGTAAAATGTTCTCTCTCTGTGTAAATTCAATCATTGACTTACTGTATGTCTGATACCAAGCAGAACTTGAAAACAAATTTTAAAATACATGAGATCCTTCCTTGATTTTTTATCGTTTTATCCTTTATGAATGCAAAAGGGCAGAAAATTTATAAAACATGAGAGAATATTAAAGAATGCCCAATACCTCTTCTAATGTGGTGTCTGAGATTCCATAGCCTGTCAGACAAAGATGATGCAGGTTCCTGTCCAGAGCCTCGAAGAGCCCTTTAAATCCAGTCTTGTCCACGTCCTTTGGAAGAGCATATGCGAGCTCACTCCTACTGCTTGTTTTGAGAACAGCTTGGGGCACATAGGTCTGTATCAAAGACGTAATGTGAGTTATGTCCTGTGGATCATGGTTTTCCAGAACAGAAGGCTATTTAACAGAAAAAGAATATGACAAAAGTAAGGAATAAAAAGTCAAATGAATCTCAATTGATTATATTCATAAGCAATTATTTTGAAATTTCGTTCCAAATTACTAGATAGGAAATAGCATTGAAGTGACAGGCATTTCAATGATATAGTACATTTTAAAAATATAAATTAATGATGATAAATCTGATGAGCCCAGATCCACATGCCCTCTGTGGTCACAGGCAATTTATGTTCTAGATTACTGAGATACTAAGAACCTCTGAAACACCCAGTCCACCAGGAAACAGGACTTAAACTCTGAAAGAAAAGCAGTGATCCCCAACCATAGAAAAAATGTTATGCTATGAATTGAATTATCTGACAAAATATGATGTGAAGTCTTGTACCTGCAAAAATTATTTTGCTTAGAAATACAGGTTTTCTTTTTGTGTTAATGATCATAACATATATTAATAATTTGGAAAACACGGACTTGGTGACAGAAATGAAGCTGGAGATAGAATGATAGAATTCTGTACAATCAATGATTTTTTTCATTGCAAATGCTTTTTATAAGAAACGTGAACTCAGACTATACATATTTATTTCACCTGATGGTATGAATAGGAATCAAATTGATTACTTTTGTGCAAAGAATCACTGTTGTTGTTATGTGCCATAGAGTCGTTTGCAACTCATAGCGACCCTATGTACAAGAGCTCTAAATGCTGTTCTATCCTGTGCCAACCTAGCCATCTCAAATGCACTTATTCCCACTGCTCCAGTCACAGAATCAATCCATCTCATCGAAGGTCTTCCTGTCCTTCGCTGCCCCTCCACTCTGTCAAACATGATGTCCCTCTCCAAGGACCAGTCCCTCCTTGCAACATGCCCAAAGTATGGTAGACGAAGCTGCAGAATCCTTGACTCCAGGAGCATTCCGGCTTCATCTTCTCTAGGACAAACCTGTTTGTTCTCCTAGCAGTCCATGGTATATTCAACACTCCAGCACCACAGCTCAAAGGCATCAATTCTCTTTCTATCAACCCTATTCACTGATACATAGTACGTAACTGTGAAGACTATAGCCCAAATCAGGCAAACCTTAGTCTCCAGCCTGACGTTGTTGCTCGTCAGTACTCTTGAGAGGTCCCTCACAGCCGACTTTCCCAATGCAATTTGTCTCTTGCTTTCCTGGCTGCTGTTACCAAGAGTGTTGACTGTGGAGCCAAGCAAACTAAAACTGTTAACTATCTCAGTCCATACTGATGCTGCCAATTGGCCCAGTGGTGAGAATCTTTTTCTTGATGTTGAGCTTCAATCCATATAGGAGGCTGCAGTCCTTGACCTTCTGCAGCAAGCGCTTCAGGTCCTCCTCAGTTTCAGCAAGCAGGGCTGTGTCATCTGTATAATACAGGTTGTTGATGATTCTTCCACCATCTTGATGCCCCTTCCTCTTTGTACAGCCCAACATCTAGAATGATCTGTTCTGCATACATATTGAAAAGGTGTGGAGACAGAATACATCCCTGATGGACCCCCGTCTTGATTTTGAACCATGTAGTGTCTCCTTGCTTTGTTCTGATGACTGCCTCTTGGTCCAAGTATAGGATTCGCATTAGCACAATCAAATGTTCTGGGATTCCCATTCTTCTCAGAGTCAGCCACAGCTTGTTGTGATCCACACAGTCAATAGCCTTTGCATAGTCAATGAAGCACAGATAGACATTCTTCTGGTATTCTTTGCTTTCTGCCAAGATCCATCTAACATTAGCTATAATATCCCTAGTACCATGACCTCTTCTAAATCCAGCCTGTACGTCTGGCAGTTCTCTGTTGACATATTGTTCCAAAACGTTTTTGGACAATTTTCAGCAGAATCTTGCTTGCAATGTGATGTTAATGATATTATTCGATAATTTCTGCACTCTGTTGGGTCACCTTTCTTTGGAATTGGAACAAATTTTGATCTTTTCCAGTTAGTGGGCCAGCTGGCTGTTCTCCACTACCAAAGCTCAATATCAGCTGTGAAAACTAGGCCAGGTGCTGACTGTGGAACAGACCATGAACTACTCATATGCAAGGTCAACCTGAAGCTAAAGAAAATTAAATCAAATCCACAGGAATCAAAGTTTGACAATGAGTCTATACCACTTGAATTTCAGAATTATCTCAGAAACAGGTTTGAGGCCTTGAATACTAATGAGCAAATACCACATGAGCAATGGGAGGAGATCAAGAATATCATCTAAGAAGAATGCAAAATTATCATTACAAAGGCAAAGGAACAAGAAAAGACCAAAATAAATGTTAGAAGAGACTCTGAATATTGCATTAGAGTGCTGAGAAGACAAAGTAAAGAGAAGAAATGAAGATATTATGGAGCTGAACAGAAGATTTCAAAGGGCTGTGTGGGAAGGCAAAGTTAAGTATTATTATGAAATGTGCAAAGAGCTGGGGTCGGAAAATCGAAAGGGCTGAACTCAATCAGCATTACTTAAGCTGAAGGAACTGAAGAATGAATTCAAGCCTGAAGTTCTAACATTTAAAAATGCTTTGGGCAGAATATTAAATGATCCAGGAAGCATTAAAAGAGAATGGAAAAAGTATACAGAGTCACTGTATTAAAAGGATTTGGCTGAAACAAAAGAATTTCATGAAACAACATATGAGAAAGAGATCGTGATGGTGAAGGAAGAAGTTCATGCTCTCTGAAGATATTGGCAAAAACAAGGTCCCAGGAATTGATAGCATACCAATTGCCATATTTTAACAAACAGACGCTACCCTGAATGCACTCACCCAGTTGTGCCAAGAAATCTGGATAGATAGAGCAGGGTTTAGTTCTATTGTTGTGCATAGGGTCTCTATGTGTAGTAATCCCAAAGGCAAGTGTCACATAACCACAACAACAACAATTACAGTGATTTTTAAGACTAACAACTTTTTATTTAAAGAAAGAGTGGGATGGTTAGACACATACAGGAGAATCAGTGACATAGACGATTGAGACAAATGCATTTGTAAGTTATTCTGGAAGTACATGTAATTGGAATTGACAAAGATGGACCTATTCCCACAGCCAAATCATGGATTTATAGTTCTAGTCTCCTCAACTATGAGAAAACAAATTTCCTTTTTTGTAAGTCTTTTTTTTTTTCTTTTTGTAAGTATTATGGCATTATGGTTATGCAACACAAAGTAACTAAAGAAGGTGCCATTTCAGGAAGGCAAGATATTCACCCTGAATTAGATGCAAATAGGAACCTTCATTCTGCACACAAGGACAATATTAGCAAGAGTTAATATGAGTCTGTTACACAGTCATGTCACAGTCCTGGCCATTAAATTCCTCAACCTGAGTCTCAAATCCCTAATCACTACAGCCTTCCCCAATTGACACAGGCAAAGCTGAGGAGAAACGGGACACAGATTTCACTATCTAGGTCCCACCTCCGTTTGCTCTAGCTCATACTACTCTGCTTGTAGTGTGTGGTTTTGTTTTGTTGTGATCAACAGTGTATGTGTGTGTGTGTGTATGTGTGTGTGATATTTGAACATTTTTATAGGTATAGTTCAAGGATATTCATTCTATTCATCATGTTGTACAACTTTCACCATTATATATTTCCACATTTTCTCATCACTTTTATTCCTGCTTTAAAATTATTTTTATTTATTTATTGTTTTAGACAATATGGTATCTCAAAACAATCTTCTATGATCCTCTCCCTCTGTCACAAGGGGTTTTTTGATTTGTTTTTTCTTTTTAGAAAAGTTTTATTTTATATTGATTCGCTTACAAAACTCGTATACATTTTGCTTTACACTATTCTTCCTTCACATTGTGTTGCGTACAATCGTTCACATGCATATGTTTTTAAAATTAATCACCTTTGGACTATGTTGTCCATATCCCTATCTTTGCAGGTTCCCATCAAATCTTTTCCATTTTCTTTACACCTTTCCTCTTCTCCTCAATTGTGCAACTCTGTGATTTAGCACTTACCCATCCTGACCCCTCTGTTCTCACCTCTCCTCCCTTTGGATCCCCATACATATAATACTAGTTATCCTTTTGGTTTTACAATATTGGTCTCATGTAGTATTTATTTGTCCTTATAAAACAAAGTTAATTCACTCTCCAGTTTCTTTTATGTCATGTAGTATTTTCTGAAGTCCTTGCTCCTGAGTGCTGCATAGTATTTCATTGTGTGACTGTACCACAATTTCTCAATCCTTTCAGTTGTAGTTGGATATTTGGGCTGTTTAATGTTTTTTGTGGTGATCAATAATGCTGCTATGAACTTTATTGTCATTGCTCTTAATAGAAGCTCAGTGGCCTAAGAATAACTCCTTGTCCCATTCGTTGTAATCAAGAATAAACTTATGTCTCTACTAAATTTGTTCTTTCTTGTACAAATAACAACAAATAAATCAGTAAGTAAAAACAACAAATCACTTATCCCAAGAGTATTTATACTTTTACTGGGAAGACCCAGCAGTGTAATACAGAGTACTGAAGAGCAATGATATCAGGCTGGAGACTAAG